AATGATGCTGGTCATCGCAGCTTCAGCATCTCCGGTTTTTTGACGCTCCGCTCCCCCTGCTGATCTCCGAGTCTCCTGGCTTTTCCCTCCCCTCTCACCCCTTGCGGTCCTGTGTAGTGATGTGGTGAGAGGAGTTAGTGCTGCCTGCCCACCCTCACCCCATCCCTCCGCACTACATATGAGTTTCAAGTTTTATTATTGCAATAAAAGTGCTTTATGCTGGCTTTTCTCAGCTCGGTGTGATGGTGGTTACTCTCAGGTGCCTCCGCTTGCCCTTCGGCACGAGGGGGTGGGGGTGGGGTGTGACAGTGGGCTGTGGTGTCAGAGAAGAGTTGCAGGAGCACCCTTCCCTGTTGGCCTTTCTGGCTAGAGTCGGGTGTGGGGGGCAGTAGATTTGCGTCTTCGCCCGAGGAGGCCACTGCCTGGAGGTTGGGCAGGTCCTCAGGGAGCACCCCCTCGCCCATCATCAGATGATCATTAAATCCGTGCTCTGGCTAGAGCACCCTGCGGGTTCTCGGGGTGACCAGGAAGTGGGAGATGCAAGCAGCTCTCAGGAAATGGATCGCACCCAGTTGGAGACAGGCCGCCAGCAAACTGAGGAATAGGGATGAGGGGAAGGCTGGTTTGAAATCGGCGTCCTCTGACACTTGGTGAGGAGAGCCTTGGTCGAGCGGACAGGCTGGCTGGCTGCAGTAGGTTCCCTGGCCCCGCCCTGTACAGTCTGGTGCTGCTCCCCGCCTCCCTGCTGACGAGGGGTCAGAAACGCTCCCACACCCTTAGCCACCTCCCCAGAGGCCCTGGCTGAGAGCCTTTGATTTCAGATAGAGAAGCTGAAGAACTTGCTTAATGACTTTTCCAAATCTATCCCTTTGTAAATGTAAGTCACTGGGTAATATTTCAGAGTCATACCTTATTTTCCCCAAAGTTATTTTATAAAAATTGTCAAACAACAAACGAAAGATTTTTACAGGATACTCACCATCTAGATTCTACCATAAACACGTTACTATACTTACTTATCACACATTTTTCCATGTCACATTTCAGACTAAATGGCAGACATCACTACAATGCCCTCTAAATACATTTCATTAGAATTCAGTACTTGTTATACTTTTGTACCCTAAAACCCTATCAAGACACAGAATATGGCCGTCCTCTCGGAAGCTTGCCTTATGTGCTTTCCCAGTCAGTCCCCACCCCAACCCGAGGCAACAGTGGTTTAATCTTCCGTATGATAGTGTGTATGTAGCCTGTTACAGAATTTAATGGGATCCTACACTATGTCCTCTCGCACTCAGCGTGGAATCTTCACTCAGACACACAGGGAAGCTGTGAGTTCTCATTGAACTTAAAGTTCGGAGAAATCCTCTGGATTGGGCACGGGGGTCTGTGACAGGCAGAACCATGGCCCCCAAAGATGCCCGCATCCTGATTCCCAGAGGCTGTTGAGCATGTTCCCTTGCAGGGCAAAGGGATTGTGCAGATGTGATTAGTTAAGGACTCTGAGGTGGGGAGGCGATCCTGGATTATGTGGGCGGGGCCGGTGTGATCACAAGGGTCCTTCAATGAGTCAGAGATGTGAGGATGGAAAGACATCTGAAGATGCCAGCTGCTGGCTTTGAAGATGGAGGAAGAGACTACAAGGCAAGGAATGCCGGCAGCCTCTAGAAGCTGGAAAAGGCCAGAAACAAATGCTCCCCGAGGGCTTCCGGAAGGAACCAGCCCTGCCAACACTTCGGTTTTAGCCTGGCGAGACCCATCGTGGATTTCTGACCTCCAGAACTGTAAGATGATAAATTTGTGCCATTTTAAGCTACTAAGTCTGATAATTCAATACAGCGACAAAAGGAAACTAATACAGGGCCTTTGTTTCTTTTAGTTTTAATGTGTAACAGAGAACAGAATAACAAATCAGGATTTTTAAACAATCTCCAATAAGTGGTTAACCTTGTTAAAGGATAAATTATTTTAGAAAGTAAAATCATGACTCAAATACAAAATGAACATGTTAAGGATATTATTATTTAACTCGTTGATTAATGAGAGAACCAGTAGGATGTTTTAATTGGTTCAAAGTAGAATCCAAAGGGCAAATAAACATATGTCCAGTAGGAACGTAGAAATGAATTTGCTTAATAGGTAGAAAACTGGCAAAATTGGGCAATATCCACAGAGCAGTAATCCGTTACATTCCACTGGACGCAATTGGCATTTCTGTGGACAAGAATCGTCTGCATTATCAGTTTCCCTCCATTTACATCATTTTAAAGAGTGAAAGGTGGAGACAACCCAGAAAGGTGGGCCAGATGGAACACCCGGAATTGGGGGTGGGGGGACCTATTTCACAGGCTTTCACAATGTTTCCTGACACCCTATTGTTGGATACTTGGGGTATTTCCAATTCTTTGTTTTTTTTTTTAAACAAAAAGCCAATACATCTTTGAACGAGTAATTTTTTTCTTTCCTAAATACCTCGATGCTACACATAAGATACTAGAAGGGGGACTGTAGGGTAAAAGAGACTTTTGTGACTTTAAGTTCACATTGCCAAGTTGTATAAACTTTTTTCCCACACACCGAAAACAAGCCCCACTCATGTCCCGTGGCAGGAAATGGGCTGTCACTTCCATGATCTCCTAAAAAAACACAAGTTTTTCAGACGCCCTCCCACCAACCCATTTTTCCCTCGTGTTCGTTGGCCAGAGTTAAAGCTGTGGAGAGTTGACTGATCTGGACCAGCTGAGAGAGACACACACACCCCCCACCCTCCAGTGCTGGAGAAGGCTCAGGCTCCCCGGAAGCCCAGAGACCCCGAGCCCCAAAACAGAGTCAGGGTTCTGTTCTCAAAGCAGCAGGGGCACTGCTGGGCCCAGCCAGAACTGGTGTATGTTGCTACTGACCATGTTTTAATTTTTTTCTTTTCCTTTTATTTTTGAGAAGTGTGATGGTTATATTCACAGTCCTAGGATTCAGGAAAACTTTCTAATCCTGCGTCTGACCTTTGCTATGGCTTAGACACTGAATAACCATGACGACAGTTTGACTACGAAAAAGCATCCATCGACCCCTACTTGTTCCAGGAAATGGCTGGCTGCAGAAAACCCTCCACCCCTTCCTCTTTTGAAATGTCCCCAAACTGCTTGCTTGCCCCCTTGCAGCTGAGGATGGCCAAATGAACTTGATGCCAGTGAGTCTCTCCCTCACTCCACAAATCCTACCCTAATAGAATGTTTTCCAATGAGACACAGTATTTCTTTTTTTTTATTTGGTGAGGAAGATTGGCCCTGAGCTAAAATCTGTACTAGTCTTCCTCTATTTTATATGTGGGACACCACCACAGCATGGCTTGATGAGCAATGTGTAGGTCCGCACCCAGGATCTGAACCCAAGAACTCTGGGCTGCCAAAGCAGAGCACAGGAACCTAACCACTATGCTACTGGGCCGGCCCCCACAGTATTTCTTTTTACTCAATACAGCATACTCCCTGACACCGCTGAACTCCTACTGAAACAAAAGTGATGGCAGGAGAGTTCCCGTGCTGCAAGTGTATGAAAAAACAGTCTTTGTTAATTTTGTCTTAGGCTTAGATTTCTGTCTTTGGACACATGTGGGATGTGTCTGTAAGAATTCTGCCCTTAACACACACCTACTTCCTGGGTAAGTGGGGGTTCACTTTGGTTGACAACCTTGGACTCACTGGCTTTTCAGGAACCGTTGAGAAGTTGTAGTTTAGGGACTCTCGTTCAGCCCTCTAGTTAAATTCAATGAATCAGTGAGGGACAGCTGACACCAAAAACGGATTAAAATAAAACTGCCCCGGGCAGTGTTCCCCTGGCTTCTACCCGGAGGCGTCTGATGAGTTCCTCCAAGTCGCTCCGAGTTCCCCGAGTTCCATGCGTGCGTGGGGCAGATTGATTACGGACCCTTCAGAGGCTGGACTTGCTGCGGCAGCTGCCCCACAGGGCGCACGGGAGAACAGCTGTCAGCCTTTATTAGGAAGGTAGAAATATTTGCCAGTGGGTACGTAGGACCGGAATATTATTGGATCTGTCTGTTCATTACCACCGTAGTTTTTCCTATTTTAGAATTAATTCCTATATTTCCCAAAGCAGTACATGCCCAAGATGTAGGGAAATAAATTCAGTTAACCACAGAGTGTATTTATGGTATGCCACCCCCGTGATCAGTGCTGCTCTCGGTGCTGGGAGTGAATCCCAGAGGGGTCAGAGCAAGGCGCTGCCTGCTGGGTCCTCACATTCTAGTGGAAACCCAAAACATGAACAAATAATGTCAGGTATCCAGGGCGACAGCAGTGAGGAGAGTGAAGCAGCCGGAGGAAACTGTTCCAGGCTAGTGGAACAGCAAGTGCGAGGGCTCTGAGGGGTGCTGGGAAACGGTGAGGCCAGGGTGGGGAGAGCAGCCATGCGAGGGAAAGAGTTGGGCAGGGGCCAGGGAAGGCAGGGCGTTGCCTCACGGGTAGAGTGAGCATGAGAGGATGCCATTGGTGGACTTCAGCAGGAGAGTGATGTCTATGTGTGTTAAAAAGATGTCGCTGGAAACTGGAGAACTGACTGAAGGGGATCATGGGAGCTAGTCTCCAAAGATGGCCCCTAGTGATTCCTCCACTCCTCTTGAGGCTGGGTTGGCCTCGTGACTGCTTTGACCATTAGAAGGCAGTGGTAGGGATGTTCTGGGACTTCGAGCTCAGGCCTTAAGAGGCCTGCCAGCTGACACTTCCTTCCTCTGAAACACTGGCTCTCGGGCCAGCACGTAGGCCACACGGAGGAGAACCGAGGCCCGCAGCTCTCAGCCCCAGCTGAGGATGCAGCCAACTGCCTGCAACAGCTGCCGGCCAGGCTGAGTGAGCCGCTGGCCAGGCTGAGTGAGCCGCCTGGACATCCTGCCCAGTTGAGCCCACAGAGTCCCTGGCCCCAGCAACATCACATGAACAGGGGAACCACCTCACCGAGCCCAGGAAAACCACAGAACTGTGAGATTTAATACTTGGTTTTGAAGTGGTTTATTTCACAGCAATGGATAACTGAAACGGGCGAGGGTGGACGCAGGACACCAGGAAGCCGGCTGTTGGGGTCGTTTCGGCCAGAGATGCTGGCGGCCTTGGCCAGACTGGTGGAAGCAAGGGGAGAAGTGATCAGATGCAGCGTAACTTTGTCAGTGCAACTTTCAGGCTGGACTGTGAGGGGAAGATGAGGAAAGCAGCACTTCCCTGCCCGGCTCGCCCCCCTCCAGCCCCTCCGTTGAGATGACGATTTTAAACTCTTGCTCTCTCTTCTGACAGTTACCACCATATTGCACCAATTGCATACACTTTTTTTTAAGGAAGAAAATAAGATTAAAGTAAATCTTTGAGTGGCAAGAGTCTTTTTTTTGGAGGAAGATTAGCCCCAAGCTAACATCTGCCACCAATCCTCCTTCTTTTGCTGAGGAAGACTGGCCCTGAGCTAACATCCATGCCCATCTTCCTCCACTTTATATGTGGGACGCCTACCACAACATGGCTTGCCAAGCAGTGCCATGTCTGCACCCGGGATCCAAACTGGGGAACCCCGGGCCACCGAAGCAGAACATGCAAACTTAACCACTGCGCCACCAGGCTGGCCCCAAGAGAGTCTTCTTAATCAAGAAACAACACCTCAAAGACATAAAGGAAATTATTAATAGATGTGATCACCAAAAAATGAAAAAACAAAACTACTTTACTGTAAAAATACCATAAGCAAAGTTAAAAGCTGAGCTGGAATGGAGAGGAAAATATTTGCAAAGTATTTTTTGCAAAAATATAACAAAATTCTTAGACCCTAAATATATAAACACTTCTAAAGAAAGAGAAAAATTTCATGGAAAATAACATTAACTGGCACTAAGAACTTTCCACGTGTTGCTGCGTCTTGATGTGTCATTTTTAGCCATCTTCTCAGGTGGCCTCGCCCTCCAGTAGCCACGCCCAGGCTTCTTCACAGCGGTGGCCTCGGGTCTGAGAGGATGAGAGGAGAGGCCTCAAGGCCTCTTTAAAGCCTCGGCTGCAGAACGCACAGTGTCACTTCTGCCACATTCTGCTGGTCAAAACAAATCGCAAGGCCAGCGCAGATTCCAGCGGATGAAGGAATAGACTCCCCTTCTCACTGGAAGGGTCAGCAAAGGCACATCGCAAAGAGGTGTGGCTACAGGGAGGTGTGATTCACTGGGGACACTGTGACACTGCACCACACGATGACTGACATTTCTACCCTCACAACTGGGTGACAGCTTGGCTGGGACTATTATTCTAGATTGGCAATTATTTTCCCTAAGAATGAAGGCATTGCTGCATTGTCTTGTAGTTTCCAGTGTTGAAGGCTGATGCCATCTTTTTGTTTTTGTTTTTTTTTTATTGGCATCTGAGCTAACATCTGTTGCCAATCTTTTTTCTTCTTCTTCCTCTTCTCCCCAAAACCCCCCTAGTACATAGTTGTATATTCTAGCTGTAGGTCCTTCTGGCTGTGCTGTGTGGGATGCCACCTCAGCATGGCTTGATGAGCGGTGCTATGACCACACCCAGGATCCGAACCTGGGGAACCCTGGGCCACCAAAGCAGAGCGAGGGAACTTAACCACTCAGTCATGGGGCTGGCCCCCAGGTGATGGCATCTTAATTTCTGTTCCTTTAAATGTGATCTCTCTTACTCCTTTCTGAAAGCTTGGGGATCTTCTGCTTATCTGCAGTATGGTAAAGTTTCATAATATGGCCTGTTTGGTCTTCTTTTTTTCTTTGATCTCCTCCTCCTCCTGTTTTCATTTACTCTCCTAGGCATTGGGAAGGTCATTTTAATCTGGAAACATATGTCCTTCAGTTTGGAAGCTCTTCTCATATTATTTCTTTGATAGCTATATTTTCCACAAATATATTTTTCCACAAAACATATTAGAAGAGTGGCATTATTTCACTTTTTTGCAAATCTCTTTAATACGTGGCTAAATAGAAGACAGCTGAATTCTCACAACTACTTCTGCATTCCATCTGTTGCAATATGTTGTTTTGGTTGAAGTATATGAAGAAATTCCAACTAGGCACATTTTAAAAGAGGCTTGTGTCTGAACAGACAGTGCAGAAACCAATATAACTAGAAACCTGGCAACCATCTATTTACCTTAGGATTTCGCTAAATGGGAAATATTCAGTCATCTTTTTTGAAAAAACTGTCCAACCTTGCATTGGTAGAAGACAAAGCTGGCTTTGTTTCCCTGTATGAAAGCCACTTAGCACTTCATTTGTAAGTCTGAATGTAGAATTTTGTGAAGAGAGCAGTCAGAGAAATCATGTGTCCACTTTGTAAATATAACCAGCCAAGAGAGACTCTACAAGATCAGATGACCCCCCAGCTAGTCCAACAGTTGCCATCATGAAGTGATGCCCTGAATAGCAAACTGCTTCCACCAGGGATCTGAGCGCGTGGGTTGGACAACCCTTGGAGAACCTGCTAAGATCAGATCAGTGGATAAGATCAGTGAGGTCCTCAGCTCACACGAGCCGCGATAGGCAGCCGGGACTGCAGTCTGCTGGTTGTTCTCGCGCGTGGTGAAGAACGCGTCCATACTCCTGTTCCTAACATGGGACACAGACGGCAATAGAGGGCCAAGGTTACAAACCCTCAAAACTCCCTGGCAAGAGAATGACTGTTTTTCATGTATTTTGGTCTGAGCTTGTGATTAGTAAGTATATGACAGAGCAGACCAATTCAGATAAATCCAAAAGAAACCATCCTGTTACTCTGAAATCTTATCCTACCGTTGCCTGGAAATAAGTGCTAAGTGATGCATTAAACGTTTCCTCCCCTGGATCAAAGAGTAAGAACTTCGAGAGCAGAAACACAGCAGTGGTGGTGGCAGGAGCAACTGTGGTCCATTGGCCCTTGGTGTCTGTCAGGCAAGAGTAGAAGATGGTGGCAGTCCAGATGAAAACACAGACAAAAGTGGAACAGAGTACCGCTCAGCCATGGAAGGAAGGAGCTGCTGACAGGCCCAGCGATACGAGGGATCTCACAGGTGACACACGAGTGAAAGAAGGCCTGCTGTTGCTGAGGAGCGCGCTCGGCGTGGTTTTCTTTATCTGAAACTCTAGAAAAGACAAGTCCAGTCCGCAGGGACAGAAACCAGATCAGGGCTTGTCTGAGGCCTGTGATGGGGGGAATTGGCTGGGAAGGGGCACCTGGAACGTTTTGGGGTGGTGGAAATGTTCTTTAACGTGACTGTGATTACGTGAGTGTATATATTTGTCAAAACTCATGGAAATGTGCATTCTAAAGGGACACATTTTATTGTGTGTAAATTCTACCTCAAAAAGTTGATTTTTTAAAAAATATGGGGCTTCCATTTCCAGTCAAGATGGAGTAAGTGGATTCTACCCTATTCTTTTCATTTATTACAACTGAAAATTTGACAAAATACATAAAACAACTCTCAGAATACTCTGAGGGTGCAAAAAGAAGGTGGACTGGCTGGGCAACTTGGGTCTCCAGGGACAACCCAGCAGGAGGTCCCCAGGGGCTTTACTACTTCCTGGGCACTAGAGGAAGCCACAACCCAAAACCGCCACCGAGCACAAAGTCCCAAGGAAAGCCTGCTTTCTTGGGGCAAAGGACTCGAAGAAGACAGCAGTGGAGGACAGACCTTTTGACAATACTTGCTCTTGCCCAGGCGAACACCAGCAAAGTAGCCACAGCCCTCCGTCTCCCAGCAGGCTCTGCAGAGACTGTGGCAAGGAGCCTGTCGATGCCCCTTGCCACGCACTAGAGTGTGGGCAGCCCTCCCTCCTCACCAGTGATGACCGTGATGTGGAGCTCTGTCCATCAGCCCCACTGGGCACTAATGCAATCAGAGGGGATACCCCCCCCACCCACCCCCTGCCGTGGAGGGCTGTGGAGACTGAGGGGTGGAACCCTGTCACTATCCTTGCCCTGCTCTAAGCAAAGGTAACATAAAGAGGCAGCCCCACTCACCCTCAGCTGGAGTGTGGGGAGGGTTACAGAGAAGAGGGAGCGGCAGAAAGAGACTCTAAATTTGTGTATAAAGTCCAGGACACACCCCCAAGTGACCTTGTGTGAAACCCACCAGAATCAACCTAGCAAAAACTCTGAGAACTGGACTCTGATGTGGAATACTGCACAGTTTCAGACTGGCCTCTGGACAGCACTCAAGCAGGGCAGACCAAAATAGCACTGAATTTGAAACTAAATTGACATTCAAACTCACAGACCACAAAAGTGAGCCATGGTGGGCATTCTGAACTTAAAACACTTTGAATGCACGCTAAAATAGAAGATTTAAAAAGGAACCAGAGTCTCATAACATAACACCCAAAAAGGCCAGGATAAATCATATATTACTTGTCATATCAAAAGCCAGAAAAAAATCTCAACTGAAATGAGAAAGGGCAATCAACAGATGTCAACATCAAGATGACACAGATGTTGGGATTATCCAACAAGGATTTTAAAGCAGCTATCATAATAAAAGAAAAGAAAAGCTTCAACAAGCAACTGTGAACACTCTTGAAACAAAAATAAAGTTTCAGCAAAGAAACAGAAGATATAAGAAAAACCAAATGGAAATTTTAGAACTGAAAAATACAATAACAGAAATAACAAACTTACTGGATGGGCACAGTGGCAGAATGGAGAGGACAGAGGAAAGAAGCAGTGAAACTGAAGATAGACCAATAAAAATCATACAACCTGGGGCCAGCCCAGTGGCGCAGTGGTTAAGTGTGCACGTTCCGCTTCTCGGCGGCCTGGGTTTGCTGGTTCGGATCCCAGGTGCAGACATGGCACCGCTTGGCACGCCATGCTGTGGTAGGCATCTCACATACAAAGTAGGGGAAGATGGGCATGGATGTTAGCTCAGGGCCAGGCTTCCTCAGCAAAAAAGAGGAGGACTGGCAGTAGATGTTAGCTCAGGGCTAATCTTCCTCAAAAAAAAAAAAAAAAAAATACAACCTTTACAGAGAAGCAATGGACGGAAAAAATGAACAGAACTTCAGGGGCCTGTGGGACACCACCAAAATACACTTATGTCATTAGAGGCCCAGGGAGGAGAAAGAGTACAGGGCAGAAAATATACTCAAAGAAATAA